GTGAAAGTGCAGTGAAACAGCCACGAAACATACTTTGCAGCAATTAGCCACCGCTGGATGTGTCCCAGTCAAACTCTGCAGTTTCAAGTGGGCCAGACAGGACGCCAAACACGAAAGCAGTGTAAAACATCTGGAAACTTTCAAAATAAATCTCACGTGCGGATAAAAGTACGTCATTTCCCATGAAACCCCCGTAGCCGTTGTAAACAGAACAGACCTTTTTGGATACATTCAGCCATCTTTCTCCATGCTTGTTATTGTGTGGACTTCTGAAATCATGCGTGGTGCTGCAATTCTTCTGTGATTTAGTGACTTTGCAGAACCAGCGGTGTGGAACACTTTTGCTCCTGTTTCGCGTCTGAAACTCTCCTGGTTGGAAGCGAGCCCGCAGGCAAAACGCTGCTATGATGTCACACGTTGCTTTCACGTCTGGTGGAAGAAAGGCTTTAAGTCTTAACCCTCTGGAGGCAGGCTTTGCACATTTGCAACAGTTAAAACCTACCTACCTGGTTAATTCACATACGTATTTCATGAGTATTTTTTAACTCAGAAGTACCCCTGAAGGACTTAGTTGTTCATCCTTTTATCAAAAACATATTTTGAGCCTGAGAGGGTTAATCTCCCCTCAGCTTCACAGTCACTGACCATGTCCCATTAACTCACCTGTCCCTGTTTAGCAGTCACCTCCCTTAGTAAGCACCTTGCTTCATGCTCTTGTGTCAGATCCTCTTGTATTATTCTGTCTTTTTCAATTTTAACAAATATCTTAAAACTACCAGCCAACCTCCTGGAGTTCTCACCTGCACCTTGGGTTGCACATAAGTGCACACTTTCAGAAAATCTACAATTAAAGATGGCCGCCATAGCATATCAAAACTGGTGAAGGTCAAAACGCCTTTATACTGAATCTTCAGACGAGTTAAATCATTTTGGAGATGTCACGTTTCCTCTACATGTTCAAGTTTTGTAACCTAATGTTCTTTTAATGTTTCTTGGCCTCTGTCACTTCCTCAGTTTAACTTCAATCGGCCATTTTTAAGGTGAAGAGGTTATTTTCGATACAGGACATCCTCTTATTCTACATGTGTCTTTGGCACAAGGTCAGGTGTAGACCTTTGCTCGCGCACACTGCTAATCAGTGATTTTGGCAGGACTTCAATGCACGAATTCCATCCAAGCCTGCTACAATTTGTCAGTGAAACAAATTCCTAAGAAAAACAAGTCTTTGAATAATTCGCAATTTGCACATTGTAACTTTCTGATACTTGTTCATTGTGATTTATCTAAAAAAAGCAGAAAATGTTGTTCTTCATGCTTTTATAATTCGGTGCAGCAGTTGCAACACCACTGAAGTGGCTTATCTGTTTTTCTGACGTTCATAGAAGTTTAAATTTTAACCGCTAACTCTTTGAAGGCATTTAAAGCACAGAAAATAATCCAGCTCTGGCTTTTAAAGAAAACAGTTTCTCTGCTGTTTTTTTTCTTCTTAAGTTAGTTGTATAAACTCATCTTTTTTGTGGTAGGTTTCCTGAAAATGACAGACTTAGGAGGTATTTTATTAGGAGGTGAGTTCCCCTCAATTGTTAGGTGAAGTTCCTGACTGGTTTTTATTACCAGCGTAAATACCTTTGTTTGTGTTCTCAACCTCTACAAAACTCCTTCAAAAACATTTCTCAGAGGGTTAGTTTGGGGTTTCAGATGCCATGGCAGCAGCTCCAGCGTTACAGATGAGTTTAAAACGTTTCACACGTCTGTGTAAGGAAATCAAAAGGCATTACAGGGGGCTGGTGCAGGCTAAATTAACGAAATAAAGAAATTAATTAAAATGATGCAAAATGAGCCACTTTAAGGCCTTCACCAAATAACAGCTTAAATAAACCAACATCTCTGTTATTCTTTGGAGAATTTTTACAAAGACAATAAAAATCTTTGTATGAAGACTGACAGATTGTAGAAAAACAATGACCTGTATGGCAAACTCGTATCCCAGTGAAACCAGTGTTCTCCCAGATAGTGATGCTCTTTATTGGGCCTTTATTGTGCTCTGCTATCCTGGGCGTCTCGTTAAGAGTAACTGGTGTGAAAACAAGTTTATAAAGTCATAAAATACAGAATGTTGGCTGATAAGGGGTGACTTTTGTACCGCAGCTAAGCTCATCCTTGCATTTCCACGTTCAAAGATGAAACTACACAAGTGGGAAAGTGTTAAAAATATTTCCTTTTGCATTCTTTAAAAGGAACATTCCCTAAGAATAAACTTATGTTAGATTTTTGCACCATTCTAACTCTGAATGTTGTTATTTTGTACACGTATCTATATGAACTATCTTTTCCAGAGACATCAGTTTTCATGAATAAGCAGACATTTTACAGATGTCAGCTACTCTCCTGGATTTACTCATGCGGGAGGTTGCTGTCAGGAGGCTGTTAGATCATATTTCCATCAGATTCTGGGTGAGTCGTTCATTCCAGACAATCCACAACCACTCATTTAAACTCTTCTGCTTCTCTGCTTGTAAGCGGTGGTGTCTCAACAACTCACACTAAAACTACACCTATATGTCTACAAGTAGTGTTTCATTTTTCAAACACTGGTTGCGTGACCTTTTTTAGTAAAACTTTTAAAAGTAAAATTTTTTTGCCCTTGTGTCGGACAGAAGTTACTAGAAATATGTTGGGATTGGACCATGAACTTCCTTTACACAAACCCAAGCCCTTACAGTCTCTTGTTTTTCCGAGTTTGTCAAGAATTCACAAAAATCAAATGATCTTTATACTTCTGGACTGAACCCTTAAGTCTCAGCACACCAACCCAATGGCAGACTGAGCTCTCAGACCTAGACAGAGCTTTAGTGAGTCCTGAAACCACGAGACTCTAAACTAAAAGTTTTTATTTTAAACCTCTAAGCTACAACATGCAGATCTCACTGCATCTTACTGGTGGTTCGCAGGTTAAACTTACTGAAACACTTAGCTATGAAAAAATTTATGTAAACTGAATTTAAAATTCAAACTAAAAAAACACGTCAACTAACCTTTTTTAATGATTTGAGATTGACACGTGTTAAATTGCACTTATTTTAGACTCTTCTGTTTAAAAAAACTCCAGAAATATTTAACCTTTTCCACTACACTGAATATATACTGTAGTACTCTAATCTCCTGATGTTTTTCAGAGTTAGGTTTTCTGTGGTGTTTGTATAAACCCTCTTTGTGCATGTTAAATTCTGATTCGCCAGTAAACCAAAATATGACAATTATAAAAACTATTCCACGCCACCTTTTCTTTAGTTCAAGTGTTCTAGAGAGGTCTCGGACAGGCCATCTGGACTTCCTCTTCAGCCAAAAGAACCTCGACAAGCTGGATAAAATCTGTTGCAAGTTACACCTGACCGCAACGGTTCCTTCAGAATAAAAGCTGAACCTCACGACCCCTTCAGGGTCTCGCTGATGCCAACTGTCGTGACCTGGAAGCATTCCAAGACTAGTTTGGTCGGCACCGCTGCTTTTCTACCGGCTTCAGTTTCAAGGAGGGTCCAAGAGGACCTTGACATTCTGGATCTAACGGAGGCTTCCTCTGGGTATGTAGACCGACAGATGGCGTCTCATGTGTGTTATAAATCTCCAACCATAGTTTAAAGCAAAACATTCCCTCCCACTCAGAACTAAATGCTTCTCTGGATCCATTGGTTCTGATAGCAACATTCCACACACACACCATCATCTCACGTTTCATTCCACCTAGTCCATCAGAACACAGAGTGTTTAAGTTAGTCTTGTTTAAATTGTGTAGAAATAAATTTCTTAACTATTATAAACCTGACTCTCTTTCTTTCCTCGGAGTTAATACGAAGTGCCACTTAATCCCTGCAATAAAATGATCCATCAGACTGATATTTCATATTTCTATGGAATCTCACATTTTATGGTTCATAAGTAAGATGTAAACTACCCATCGTTACACTTCTCACATTTTAGAATGAAAATAAATTACTTGAACCTTGCCACATGCGACCCCTAAGCATTATACTTCTAGAGCTACCCAAACAAATCTAGCATGTCATAGTAATGATTTCATTACACTTTCAGAAAAAAAAATCTGTCCATCTGTCCGTTCGTCTATCTATGTTCCAAGCTGACTGTGAGCAATGACAGGAAGGATGGGATCATGGAAACAATCAGCCAAAATGAGTTTCCTCCGCAGGGTGGCTGGGTTCTCCCAGAGATAGGGTGAGAAGCTCCTCTGGGAGGGGCTCAGAGTAGATCCGCTGCTCCTCCACATTGAGAGGAACCAGTTGAGGTGGCATCTAGTCAATGGCTGTGTCTCAATTCAGGGTCTGCATCCTTCGAAGGACCCAGCCCACCCGGCCGACGTGGGCTGCGTCCTCCGTCGGCCGGGTAGACCGGATGTTAACGGCTGTGAATTTGGACAGGCCTAGCCTTCATGAACTCCCTCGGCGAACGTTCCGTCGCCTAGCAACCGTGGAACCGCTGGGCAGAAGGCAGAAGGAACCTTAAACGATGGAGCTCGACGTTTTATTTAGCTTTTTAACCCCCAGAAACCCAAATTTAGAAAACAACTGCAAAATATTTTTTAACCTTTCACATGTTGTTCTAGGAGGCCAGATAAACGAGCCTATTTACACATTTTAACAGCCAATAGTGTTGCAGAACTGAATAGGACCTATTAGCAATGTAAATGTGGTTTTAAAAAGAAAAAAAATGGGGAAGGTTTATTTTTGTAGACTTAAATCTGATGTTGTAATACTACAACCGTGGGTCTCTGGGGGTTAATCATTTCCTTGACTGTTGGAGAGCTAATTCAGAGAAAATACTTTAGACTAGCTGAGCCTGAGCAAAGATGTGATAATAGTTTTTAATACTTTCTAAGGGTCTTACTTTGACCAAAACCGATTTATCACCTTTTAAGACTTTTCAAGACCCAGCGGATACCCTCTAGTAAACAATTCTCATTTGTAAACAAAAATAAAATTGAAGAGTTTAATGCAGAACTGATTTTATTTAGATATTTCTTTTACATGTACATGTTTAATCTTCATTAACCATTTTTTTCTAGCAAAGTAAAAAGCTGTCAAAGTTCTTCCTTCTCTCCTGTGCTCTCTGCTGCTCTGCAGCCTCATGTCCTCCCAGATCAGCTCCAGAAGCTCATCGCTGGCACCTTCCCCTGGATGCCCATTTTCTCCAGAATAGTCTTAACAAACATGTAAGAAAAGAAACAGGAAGAGAAAAGAGGACAACGGGTTATTCCTTTCATGTTTTCGCAGAAAAAAATATACTCAAACGAGTTTTTAAAATATGAGATGTTATTGTACCTCCATGCCACAGCCGCCGAATACTTTGCTCCGGTGATCATGTGGTCCATCTCCGCCCTAAGCTTAATAAATTCCCTGGTTTTCTCTTTTGGTCCTAAAATACAAACTTCTATTAAAATCAGGGGGAAACGTAGCGGGAGAAGTACGACACCGAGCGCGGCCGAACATACGAGCCGAGACCGCAATACAAGCACTTTTACTGTAACATTTCTAACTAAAATAACGTTCATGTATCACAAAAAGTCCTTAAACTGACAGTTTTCAAGTTTATACTTACATTTATAAGCGCAATCCTCTCCGACAGCTCCCGCTTCACTGTCCGCCATTGTTTTTAAGTTTTTCTGCTGGCCGGCCCGCAAGGCATCTTGGGAAATGCTACCTATTGAAGGATACACCCGACCCATCCTTCATTCAGGCGAAAAGAAGGCCGCATTCGTCGACCGCATTTGAAGGAGTCTTCGAATTGGGACAGGCCGAGTCGCGGCGCTGTGACGTAACCGGCCGACGAATCCGGCCGAGGTAGGATGCAGACCCTGAATTGAGACACAGCCAATATGTCTCCCGGACGCCTCCTTGATGAAGTTTTCTGGGCACGTCCAACCAGGAGATGAACTAAAGGAAGACTCAGGAGGGACTATGCTTCTCGGCTGGCCAGAGAACGTCTCCCCGGAGGAGCTGGCTCAAGTGGCTTGGGACAGGGAGGTCTGGGCCTCCCTGGTTAGGCTGCTGCCTCCGTGACCCAATGCCAGATAAGTGGAGGAAAATGGATGGATGGATCCTCTCCTATCATTTCTACACTTAACCTTATAAACATACAGAACAAGTAAATCCTCCATGACTGACTGCTGCTTTTAGTGCACATCTAGTTTACTTGCAATAAAAAAAGGTTATATCCTAAACACCTTCTGTTCCAGACAGTTATTTATTACAATCTGAATTTTATGAAATGTGTTTTTAGGCAACAACAACTGACCAGGGGGGTCAGATGTGAGCTGATTGGCATCAGTAAGTTTATTACATCGTAAATTGTTGCAGAGCCTTTTCTGGCCAAAGTGAAATTCTTTAAAGACATTCCAATCTGAAGTAAATCCTCAAAGCAGGAAAAGTATGATTACATCTTTATTTTTTCACCCAAATCAACTCTTCACCTCTAAAAGCTTCAGAGACAAGGGCGTCTCTATCTCTGTTTTGACGGATTTGATAGAAACTTCATGTTGGTATAAAAATGTTGCTAAGATTCAGTAAATAAAATCAAATCTGAGTGGAATAAAGGTAATCTGTGTGAAATAAGCACAGAGTCACATTTTCTGAAATCAGTTAAACAAGTCAACAAGTTCCAAAATGCCTGTGCAAGAAATTACTTAACACTGTTAAATGAGACAAAGCAGGCTTTTACGCTGCAACAACGGAACATTTTCACTTGTGCAACAATGATGTGTGTGTTCAAAAAAAGCTTCAAAATCATCCAAACTTTCAGCAAATTTGCCCAACTGATTATTTAGATTTTTGCCATAAACCTCCGTTTTTTAAAAACTTTTTTGTCTCTTTCAAAATAAAGGTCAAAGCCATTTTGCTGATGTGAAAGCTGTGGTCTTGTTTCTGTATGAGAGTGGAGGCTTGGTGTCAGGAGAGTATGTCTCTAGCTTAATCTCCTGCTTACAGAGACTTGGCCATTTCAGGCTGGTTTGGGGATGCAGATGGAAGGTGTGAAGTTTATTTATGGGTGTGTGAAGCCATCTGTTGTCGTGCAAAGATAGGAGGTAATTAAAGTAGGTCCAGAGAGACAATAAGTTATGAAAATTGAGAATAAAACCTTTTGATTTTGTACCAGAACTTGATATTTCACACATTCCAATGGCTAAGCAGCACAAGTGTTTCTCTTTTCCTTTGGAGAAGAATCGATTATTCAGAATTCGAGCTGAATCTGATGTCCTGGTGTTCCTCTTAGCCCAAGCTTCTGAGCTTTTAATTTTGAGTCCTGAACGATTCAGTTATGAGACGTGAAAACCCTTCAAGAAGCTGACATGGCTTGTAAATGGTCACACAAACATGAGCCTTCTGAAGTTAAATTTGTGCAAAATTGTGCAATTATTTGGTCAGTTTTGCCTGAAGTTTGACCCCACCCCCACCCAAAAAATATGCTGACTTTAGGAATGAGTGGTTGGAAGACGAGAGAGCTGCTGAGGTCACATCCTCAAATACTTTCAGGTTCTAAGAGAGAACTTGCAGTTTAATCTGGAAACCCACTCATTAAAGGGCCATAAATTTTATTCCAGAGCTGAGAAAACGTTCCCATAACAATTATGTTTTTAACTAAATACCATGAATGTTGTATGAAAATTGCCTTCGACATTCCTGTTCTTTAAATTCTTAATGAAATTTTCAAAAAGGAAATCAGACAGGGATCCTGTTGTTGACACCTAAAATATTAGTGTGAATGTATTCCTTTTAGACTTTATGCAAAGAAACACAAAAAATCCATAAGTGCTGGAAATGAATGACATAAACTCACAAACTGAAATGTCATAAAAACAAACAAAACGTAAAAAAATGCCTTTTTAAGTGAGTGAAAATAATCTAAAATGTTTTTACCCAACTAATCTAACATGTTTTTAATCATCTGTGGGATGTAATTCAATCCAGATGACAAAAATCTGATGTGTCAGAGGGTCACGCTAACTGGACATTTGTTTTCTCATGTCTGGGGCAAAGCTGTTGGCCTCAGTCAAGCCAATAAAAACAAAATTTAACAACTAAGGAAACTATTTGTCTATGCACCAACTGTCCAAAGTTAAAGGTTAATCTTCTGCAGGGCTGCCAAATGCGTTTATAAAGGGTTGGTGATGAGACACCGATGGCTCATTCAAATATGATTTTAACAAGATGACAAATGCCAAGAGGAAGACATCAACATCTGAAAAACTTCCCTATAAGATTCAGTCCTACAAACCAACCCGGACACATTATTTTATCCCATAAACTCAACGATCATCACAGAAATCCAAAAGTAAAACTATGCTATGGATGCTACAACGTCGCCACCAACAACAGAAAGATTTAAAATCAGAAAACTTCACAATAAACCAAAGGTGAGAGGCAGGTGAAGTACGTGTAGATCTCTCAGCACCTTACTACAGCTTCCTCAGAATGCTGCTGTATCACAGCTGTGCTAAGAAAGAGCTTTTAAAAGTAGAGATAAAAACAGGGAAGCAGTGAGTAAACAGTCACGCAGGACTAATGACACCAACGCCGTAGTCATAACGTATGTAAGGTGCAGAGGGAGGTGAAATTCTTAGAAACGGGGGCGACAAAACGTCACAGAGAGACTGGCGAGAGAAACAGAGGAAGCTGCAAACTGTGGAAACTATGATGGAGCTCTGCAGCATGACCGGGATACTGTCATGAAACAATGTCAGGCCAGAGGGACTGGTCAGGGAAAGATAAGGACAGATCGTAACACTGATGGAGCGGCCACACACACTACTAATGTTACAATATGTTGGTTCGTTTGATTTTTTAGTGGCTAGATTTGGACGTTTTGAGACACGACGTTTCCTTTTGTAGATAACTGTAGGAAGGTCTTAGCTTGGAAAATAGTTATGGTCTGAATCCAATCAGGACCGAACTGTTTTGAAAGCAGTTCCCACCTCTAAAATATATAGCATGTCACATAAACACGGGTGGTTACCCCTTTGGACCCTAGGCTTTTGCTGCTGCACTTGCTTGTTCCTGAGTGAGGGGACTCTCGGGCTCAAAGGGTTAAACCACCATCAGTTTATGTTAGTACATGTTTTTGTTATTTTAAGATAAAATATCAGCCTACGGTAACTTCTGGGAGGACTATTTTATAGCCTAAAAAATCCTTGTAATGCAGCACTGACAAAGGTATAAAAGTTGTCGTTTGATTTGCAACTGAGAAATTTACTTTCATTTAGTGAAGAATGGACTCTAAGATGTGAACGGCTGAATATGGAACAATTTAATAAAAAGAAATATATGCATCTCTCTCTCTCTCTCTCTCTCTCTCTCTGTATATATATATATATATATATATATATATATATATATATATATATATATATATATATATTTAGAAATAATGCCTTCACAGGAGCTTTTAGAGGTGTGCAAAATGAAGGTAAAAAAGCTATACTTGAATTAAAAAAATAATCAAATATTTATTTTGACGAGCACGAGGTACGAGCACAGGGTTTATGTTTACATCTACCAGCCAGTAGAGGGCACCGTTGCGGGTTGCCCAACAGTCCGCTGGGCACAGCTCGGCAAGTAAAGCAGCCGCTTCTGAGCCCAGAAGATGTCGTTATCCTTTTCTGAAGAGGAGCGACCGTAAAAGATCTAAAACCAGAGTGAGTTTAGGAGAAGCCTGCAACAGATGAACCCAAATAAAACATTTTACGTATCGGCAGCAAAACTGGTATCTTGACGGCTGGCAGCCTTGTTCTATTGTTCAACAATCTCCACACACTAGATGTCGCTTTGGTGTTCCATATTCCACCTTCAATTTGCCCTTTCATGAAATAAATTTTTGTTGTTGTTGAAAAAATGCTAACTGTTCCAGAGACAAGAAACTTAAGTAAAGTCAGTTTGTCAGACAAGTTTATTTCAAGACCAGGGCTGGACAACCGTCAGCAGGAAGGTAGGTTCTCCTCAGTTGCATTGCTTGTTTCCATTTGTGTGAGCTGGAAATTAGTGGAAATAAAAATATGGATGTTTTTGTTTAAAACCCCACACACAGCAACTTTTTTATGCGTGCTAGTTTAAATATCTAGAAGTTTCATTATCTGATAACAACAGGTCCCATTAAAACTATACTGTGAAAAATGTCTATTCAATGGCATGTACTCTGCAATGAAAATGACAGGAGTATTCACATTTATGAAATAAAATAATTAGAAATGTTTAATTTGAATCGGTTTTATAACAGCAGCATTACTCTTTGTAGTTAGCCGGTTTGAACAATCCTTTAGCTTGTCAGTCCTGTAGGATGTAAACACTGTATTTTTAACAGAGACTCCTCTTCTACAAGTTAGAAAATTATTTTTGTCACTTTTGCGCAGAAACAAATCAAAGTGCATGGAAATCCCCTTTAGAAAAACTAGAGTGGTCAATTAAACATGCTGTAAATGACTGGTTGCTAGTGATAATGGCTATGTGACAGATACGATGTTTAAGAGTCACTTTTATTGCTGAGAAATAAAAATTTTAAAAGATTTATGTTTTTTACATGCATTTTTACACTTTGACTCTTGTTACAAAACAAAATCTGCACTCATGTGCATCTTTCAGCACATTGTAATGTCCCATTGAAGACTAGACAGTTTTGCTGATTTTATTTTTTACAGTTTTAAGCCCTTCTATCTTATTGACACAGTCGGGTCCGTAGAGGAAGTTGGCCACAAATCGATGACTGCGTCTCTTTACGTC